ACACTCACACTCACACTCACACTCACACTCACACTCACACTCACACTCACACTCACACTCACACTCACACTCACACTCACCTATAAACTATAGCTGTGTAGACATGTCTTCTGCGATATAACGCTGAGGTAGCCTTGACTTTAAACTGACGACACGCAGCTCTATCCCAGAAGACAACTCTTCACAGCTACCTGTGAGGCAATCTCAGATCCTATGTAGTATATTTCAACTGTTTTTAAATACTACATTAGAATTATGCAGTGATGTTCGAAATTATTTCCAAAAATTTGAGTTCCTTAAAACCTCCGTTATAGTCGAAATTATATTTAAAGATCGAATTGTCATAACGAACCTACAGTTACGGTTCTCTAACTAAAGATTTAACCAAACTTTGTGTTCGGAATTAAACAAAGAAAGAGGAAGACGTGTTCACAAAACCACAGTAAAATTTGGTTGTATTTACATGGGAACTACCTGGAATGCTATGAACTGAACTCGCAGAATTACAGCGTTTCGAAAGACGGGTTGCTTGCGCACAGGTCGAGAATATACTTTCTATTATTTCCGAATGCATTAATTTTTAAACTGCTTTCGAAGTTGCATTAACCTTTAACAAATATATTTCAAATATCGAAATCGTGCAGCTAATATTACAGGTTGTCTAAATTCTGCACTGTCTGAAATTTGACATAGTTTAAACTTAAAAAGATGTGTTGCAATTAGTAACTATCATCTCCATTCTAACCTTTCTCTTAGCATTCATCGCTTCTATCTTCAACGAATTATTTAAAATTTTAATGGAACATCTTTCCCTTTCTTTTGAATGTTTAAAATTTTCTGTTTCTGTACGAAAGTTAGTACATACCTGACTTGGGGGTAATTTCACGGCAGGAATATTCCACTCCACGTAATCTAGACCGATACACAGAAGCCCGTCCACGATCTCAATTTGTCTTTGTAGCCTTAATACCAGAGGTGCAGTGGATTCTGCAGCCTTCGCAGCTGTATATTCTACCTTCTTCAGAGACCAGTTGAAAATACAATTTGCTCCCTGGAAAAGAACATTTCTCAAAGTTAGTAAGCGTAAAAGTAGCGTATGAAATTAAATTATCTTCCGGAGGTTGTAGACTGGCCGTGCAGAATAAACTGTTTCTAGAATAGCGAAATGAAAGGCCTCCTGAGGGCCATCGACGAAGGGAAGATATTTTAGAAACCCATTTTTCATATATAAAATCATGTTCGTCTTTCATCGTGTCAGGATAATTAATTGGCAGTAATCTATGCAAAAATATATATGAACGTGTTTTAAGAATTATAACATCGGCAACAGTTTTCGTGATATTAGTTTGAGATTTATTTCTGTACCTTTTCTTTTTAAGAATTTTCTGGGGGTAGAGGGCAATGTTTAGGCTCTCGTCTGCCTTGACTACCACATAGGTAGTTCATGCTGAATTATTGCCAAAATTTTGGACATATTTAAATTGAAAACTTTCTCAAACTGTCTGCCAGCCGAGTCCTAAGAACTGCATCGGACAATGCGTGCCCCTACAGTATGGCGGCCACCTACCTGTCTCTCTCTTTCAGTTATGTACAGACGTAACAGTGCAAATGTACAGGGAAGCAACGTTTCCCAACAATATTCGCGGAGGCGTATTCTAGGTAATTTTGAATAGAACTACCGATAAACTATTTGTGTGTACGTTGAAGAGGCTCAATTACGTGATCTAAAATTTGTTCCTTTTTTTTCCCCCCCTTGGTCCTACAGCCCCAGTGGGCCTAGGCCTACCTCCATGAACTTCTCCGTTCACTTCGGTTTTTCTAGATCTTACACACTCGTTAGGACTCCTTGGGCGGGTGATCAGCTCGTCGCAAGGCCTCTACCTGTACACAAACACAGAGAAACGCACACAGACACCCGGTTTCCAAGCGAGCGAAGACAGTACGTGCCTTAGACCGCTCGGCTACGGTGACCGGCAAAATTTGTTCCTTAGCCCAGCAAAGTTCAGTGAAATCATTTCCGGCCTGAAGGATATATCTCTGTTCTTGATACCTAAAGTTAATTTACGTCCTCATAATTACGTACAGAATATGAGCTCCGACATTTCATCTGATTACGATATTGCGTTGACAACTGAACCTAAACAGTATCCACAGGAAGGACGTACCTTAAGTTTCCCATAAACATTCATGGCAATCTTCACGGTCTCTTCAACAACTGGAAGCTTAGAGACACGTTCTACTGACTTCATCAGGATGGGACTGCGTGGGCCGGCGGTTTGACTTTCCTCCACAATTTGTCCCTGGGGCACCTCTAGCTGCCATTTAAGGATTCTCTCAGGGACTGCTAATTCTCCCATGGCTGTTGGTCGAAAAGTCTAAATAAGTCTGTAACAAAATACGATTATTTACAGCGTTTAGCATCTAATTTTTACTGCCTTTTTCATGAAAGCTATTAATTATATGAGCCACCGACTAAGTTCTTGTTACCTCCCTTCACACCACTACCAGAAATTGAGATTAATTTCATAGATATTAACCCTTTGAAGCCTACTAATTACAATACTGTCACGTGTTAATAACTAGACAGGGGTTTCGATTGTTAGGCTAGGAACACACACAGCGACATCGGTCGTACAAAAAATGCACGATTTTTTTTTTTGGCCGTACGACCTCCTCTTCACACTAGACCGACCAAATACATTTCTTTGCTCTCCGACTGTCGTACGGTAGATGTCGCATGTCGTCACGTATGAAAGTTAAGACTACACTTTATATTCTACTACTTGGTGCGACATGAACCGTACGGACGTCGTGGGACTGAGATCGCTGTATGTGTTCCTAGCCTTAGTTGGATTTAATGGCCTCTTAAGTCGTTGTTTGGCAACGGTTCTCAGCTCTTCGGTTCCTCAGCTTTCACGTTCGCGTCCTTATTGGTCGGTGACTGTCTCTCATTCAACTAGCGCAGCCTGCCTGCTGAAGTACTGCTGGTCCTCGACAGCACAATGATTCTTGATTCCGAGTCCCACGGGACCCATGACCTTATTTTACTGCCTGACGGCTCTGGGAGTCATAGCTTCGAAACGGACTCCACAGAAAACACCGCTTCTACCAGTTCTTCCACTGTTACGTGTTGGTTCATTGCTGTGGAAAAGTGTTTACCGTGGTGTTGCCTAAACGGTCGCATCAACTTGTTCCACTGTTATGGTTACCTAACGAGGTATATTTATGCTTTTCGTATGGTTCGCGCAATAAACAGAGATTTTTTCCCTAACAACATTAACAAGTAGGTCTTTGTATTAGAGCCGTTGTGTGTTTCCTGTGAAGCAAGAATTCAGTTTTTATATAATATTTATATTAAATTCAGTTTTCAAATTTTTCACAGTAAAACGAGTAAAATATGTCCCTAGTAAAACACGCAAGGGATACCGAGCACTGGAAAAAAGAGTAGATTCGTGACTAGAACCTGAAGGTGAAGGAACCGCATGTCGGAGCAGTAAAAGCAGTGCGATAAGTTAAATTAAATGTAAACAAATAATTCAGGAGAAGAAAGTAAAGAAAACATATGCAAAATCACGCAAACTGATTAAAGATCTTCCTTAAAATTTTAAACAAGTTGAGATCAAGAACAAGCCTAAAACCAAATGAGAGCGGGAGGATATTGGGGTTAAGATTCCTTAAGATGGGTTTGATTATATCGTTTAATGGAGTAACCATATCACGTGCGTACCTGCAGTCCCATATTACAGTAGTGAGAAGACTGACTTATGAAACGTAAATAGCTGAGCGTGGATGAGCTAGTTAAGAAATTCTCAGATTCTTACGGAACCTGAAATTCCATTACTAAGGTCACAAAATTCAGCCACTGGATTATGTTCTGAACCAGATAATCCTGCCATAATCTTCATTATCTGCGTAGTTAACATTAATTAATATCCTCAAATCTACGAGTATTCACCACCAAGAGGTCTTTCCCTTCAGATTATCCAAGTAATATTTTGGCTATATGTATAATCTTCACAATGCGTGGTATATATACCGACCATCTCATTCGCTCGTACTTGATGGCGTTTTCGCAAGGAGTCGACAGTAATAAATATGACGCTTCTTGCGATACAAGCTTCCCCATTCATCTATCAATTCCTCTTAGTTCGAAAATGTTTACCTCAACACCCTTCTCTCAAACCCCGTTCTTGTGAGAGAAGTTTCAGAACAACAACTGTAACGGAGCAGAGGACATTAGGTCCTTGAACTACATATTACTTAGAAACACTTCGAGAATTTCTTATTCTATCATTAATTATCCATTTTAAAAATGACATTGAAATTTCCATCGAAGACTAACAGTAAGAGTACTGAAAGTCATAACCGGATATCAGAAAAAATAATCGGTACAAAGACCGCTAACTGCTTCATTTAACATATCAGAGCAAACTAAATTTAAATTTTCAAATGATATTAATTCAGCATATTATAATGAAATTTAAAGCATTTGCAAGCAATCCATCTCGTGGCTTACAGAATTTCGAAACGCTGCAAATCTAGCACAAATAAAGGAAGAAATTATTCGCACAACACTGGATATCAATCCATAATTTAAGTATTAATAATATTGCTATTTCATACAGTCCTTAAACCAAAGAGAACACACAAAATGTACTAGATTGCCTACGTTGTGTTTGATTTCAAATTAATTCACATTTTAGAGAACAAAGGCTAACAATAAATATCTATGTATGTAAGGGGTGGGCCACAAAACCGGCCCCCGCACTGCGACCTTCAATGATCTATTGTGCTTAATATCTGGATTAAGATTTACTTAATTCATTGTGCCTTACATGAATCTTGTAGTTAGCAATGTAGAAATAATAAATTGGGCCACAATATACGTAACGCGACGGCGGACTCTTAGCCTTGTTCACTGGTTGGGACAAACAAACAAGCTTACCTTAACTAAGAAACCTAGATCCACTTCCTCACGCGGTTCTTCCTAGAATAACTTCACGGCGCCCCTGTTGATGCCTATTTAAATTGAAAGGAGGGAATGGGGGAGGGAGAAGTAAAGGCAAGGGGATGAAGTATTCATTGAACCAATCGAATTTTAGTAACTTAGTATCACCATATAAGGTAACTTCATGTTATGGACAGGGAGTTAAAAATTTTGTTCCCTGTTAAGTCAGCAATTATTTAATTCTGTTAGAAGCTGTTTCGAATATCTGAAACGCAGAGAAATTATTGCTGATCACATTGGCCTCGTGATCTAAGGTACGAACTGTTTTGGTCCGCTTGAACACTGGGATCATGGGTTCGAATCCCACTCGAGGCATGGAAGTCTGTGTACGTTTATTCTGTATTTGTATTGTTCTGTGTGCAAGTAGAGGCCTTGCGTCGGCCTGATCTCCCGTTCAAGGAGTCCTACTAGGCCGCGCCATATCTCAAGCGGTTAGTCGCTGGCTTCCCATCGCGGCGGCCCGGGTTCGATTCCGGGTCTGGTCAAGTGGGATTTGTGGTGGACAAAGTGTAGCTGGGGCAGGTTTTCTGCGAGTACTTCGGTTTCCCCTGCCAATCTTCATTCCACCAATTGCTCCACAATCACCCTCACCTATCATCTGGGGTTGGTACAATAGGCCAGAAGTGGCCGCAGTACAAGGGACTTAGTCCCACCCCACTAGCAATAAAAAAAACTGACTCTCATATTGGGCATTTCCATCGTCCCGTTTTGGTTACAAACAATGTTTCAGATGGTGGGACAGCTTCCATCATCAGGTAAAAGAAGCCATAATCTTTTGGGCCCGCTACATGTAGGTAAGCCCTATCCTTTGTCTGGTGATATAGGTTAGCTCCAGTTAATGGTCAACGCACACAGAGCAAATTTTATGTTTTTACATGATGACGGAAGCAGATCTAGCTTTCGAAACTTGTGTTTCTCTAACAAAAAACGAGAAGATTAAAAAATACATTGCATATGCCAGTTTCGTAACATGCCATGCCACAAAACTTTAAAATTTGTGTCGTTTTAAAGCGAAAATATTAATACTGGGAATTCAGTTTAAGTATTCGTACGCTTTAGCAGCGCTGGTTGCTGTCATATTCAGTGGGTCAAAAAGTACAGGGATTCAAGATCTTCTGAGTACCGGTCCTAAGAACCTGTAAGAAGCTCACTTCGAGCAAATTTACGCATTTTATCGATTAAGAAGACCCCGACCAGATACACAAATTTAGGGAAGCCGGTTTGTGTGAATATGCCGCATGGATCTCTGGAGCCTCATGTCATGTAAGAACTCTGATTTAACTGATTGGTTTGTACATGGTTGAATGGGACTGGGACCCTGATGGTAAACTTAGTTAATAGAGGATTTGGAAGGGGGCGATCTGTCTGTTGCATATTCCATTTCGTCATTGTACAAAGGAATTATAAGCTGACAGTAGCTTAGCTGGTCAAGATTTTTCTTCTATAGAACCGAATTATCATAAACGTTAGATCTGCCCTTTTCAAGGCGATGAAATTCGAGTCGTAATCTTCAGGCTTATGACATCGTACAGTCAGGTATGGGGTTACCAACCTTTCGAATAACCTTTCTCACTCAGTGTTCAGGGTAAAAGATGGAGGTAACATGTTTCTTCAAAATATTTGTAGCCACGTACCAGACTATACGTTGTCAGAGCCCTGAAGACCACAAAGTAACATATCGTGTTCCCATAAGGTTGTTATTGGACCCTATTCAAAGCAAGTTTAACCCAGTCTAGCCATAGTCACTGCGGTCCTGTGATTCTGTGATTCTAAGGGACCCAACGGAATAAGTGTTTTTCCCTCACCTGAGGATGGAAACAGATCCAGTTTCCGAAACGTCGTGTTTTTCTTGGTTATCTTAAATAAACCATGACGATGGAAAAAGTCAGAAAACCCAATATCTCTGTGTGTTATACACCATCGTCAGAATCCTATAGTAACTACTTACTATTTTTATATACCTACACGTACATACACACAGATTGTCTCGGGAGGAAAGGTCAAGAGTCCTTTAATAAACCCAATCCTCAGCCAACTGAGTCGTGTATATATTTCATTTTTAATATCCCTTATCACATAATTCAGGCATCTGTGTCTAGAAGTTCTAAACTTTTAGACTAAAATTTAATATGTATTTCCTTCTCTACCATACGTGCTGCATATCCATTATATCAAGGTCTCTTTCATTGGTCATTCTATTAATAGAAGAAGGAAAATTAAATTAGAGCTCGTCATTTTTCTAACATCATCTCCTTTTACTTTTTCCTTGTCAATTGCAATTATTCTGTATATCCGCTTGTTCTGATACACTCAGTGATATATTTTTCTTCAATTTCTTATGGTGGGGTGAGACGAAGTCCACTTGGTACTTCGGCTACTAACTTGTGTATTTTACCAGCCTCGGATGACAAATAATGATGAAAGTGGAGCAGTCTGTAAAATGAGAATAGGCAGAGGAAACTGAAGTACTCGGAGAAAACCTGTCTCAGTATCACTTTGTCCACAATACATTTGACCTCCTAATGTGATAGGTCGCGTTCATACCCATGGCATATTTTTACGGATGATTCATAAAATTTTAAAATTTGTTTAAAGACAGAGTAAAAAGAAGAAAACTTGTGCCGAGATGGCCTGTCACAGGACCTTTCGGGTGCATTCTGAATTCTAGCCAGCAATAAGGAAAACAAAAGAATATGAGAGATTCCGTAACGTTTCCCTGACCAACGTGCTGTTGCTGTGTGATCAACAGTATTACTTTTCACTCGTAACAGTATACTGTTAACCCAGTTACAAGTCAAGAATGACAAAACATTGGTTATTGACAAATCATAACGCATATTAAAAGTACAACAATACGTGATCATGACGTCCCTACATTATAATCTTCAGCTGATGTCGTGGCAGTAGTCAGCACATCATATGCTTAAATGTTAGATCAAGAAAAATTATTTTAAGGGATTTGGAAGGAAACGGCAGTGACGTAATTTGAAACATGTACAATCCCGGGATATACCTGAAGGAACTGACGCAAACCATGAGAAACATCAGTTAAATTACCCATTACCTGGGTAGGTATCTGGGTCCGAGCTGTTGTTAGTATGAACCAAAAACTCAATTACAAAAAATCCCAAGATATTTCTTGATCTTACTCAGCTTCTCAATTTGAATACTGGTGCAATACTGTGCAGTGCAGTACAGTACAGTTCGAACAAGTTGCCATAAGCGGTGAAGTTTCAGACTTGTATTCGGAAACGGCTCCTCGATTCGTCTGTTGGCCGGGACACCTGCTATCTTGACTAAGGTATTTCGTGGTTTTACTCAGTCCCTCCAGAGAATTCTGGTACGGCACCTCAAATTAAGGCGCAGAGACTTCATCCTTTTATTAGACAAGCATCCAGAAATTCGAAGTTGCACAATCTGAGGTCTGAAGATCATCCTGGAATAATCCGCAAGCAAAAAAATACCTCGACATATGCCACGATGGGCCTGCTATACTGATCCGAGTGCTGTGAGGATCTCACGATATTGATTATGAAGACTACTGTCGTCTGGTACGTGACACCGTAGAGACTGGTGGATAGTTAACGATGTTCCAGAGTAATATTCTGCCTGCATTTTCAGGAGAGAAGAGTATATGAGAATTCTACAATTTTACTTTGAGATATTCTGTTCATCGTTAACAAAATCCTAAAAACCTGGCCAGATCGGATATAAGTTATTTAAAGTTTTGGATGCAGATTTTGATGTTTTCTCCATTCTCCATTGATGCTGTATCCAAGTATTCGCCCGCTAATCACATGGAAACTTCATCTGATCCAACACAGGGACTACCTTGACCCTGCATGTGGACTAGAGCCTCCGGCACTCAAGGACATCTGTCTGCCTGAAAGTCTGCGTAATGATAAACGGTACTTCAGTATGGACATATGTTGAGTAGCTATGGAAGGAGGGTATTTTCCCCAAAGTGGTTAGGCATCCAAGTGGGGACTAGGGTGGTACGGGACAATTTTTTTTCCTGTGGCACTACAGCCCCAGTGGGCCTAGGCCTACCTCCATGAAACTCTCCGTTTCATTTCGGTTTACTAGATCTTAAACATTCGGTAGGGCTCCTTGGGCGGGTGATCAGCTCGTCGCAAGGCCTCTACCTGTACACAAACACAGAAAAACGCACATACACAAACACTAAACATCCATGCCCTGAGTAGGATTCGAACCCACGATCCCGGCTTCCGAACGAGCGAAGACAGTACATGCCTTAGACCGCTCGGCTACCGTGGCCGGCACTGGACAATTTACTTTCTCATATACATGTATATCTATATACATAGTATATACGAGAAATCATTGTGACGAATAGTCCAGTTACTAGGCAAAGTCTTCGACACAAACGAGACAACAGCCGTTGCTATGCAATGACGCCGAAAACACGGCTCTACAACAATAGATTTACTACTGCAAATGGTGTTATGCAACCCGCTGCAAGGCAGATCAACAGTTGGACTACAAAAATAGAAAGTGGGGTGTTTTGTAGGTTGTGAGGGCCGAGGGGTTATCTTGAAGGCAACTGGGATCACCAAGTGAGCAGTTATTTGAAAGCCTGTGAAGAGAAAACTAGAAGTTTGGTAGAAATGGCTGCCAGCCTGGGAGTTAATTAGTTGTCAGTTTAGTTGACAGACAGTTCTACACAGGAAGCTGTGAAGATAGAACCTGAGGGGATGAAGTTGAAGAATCTCCACTGTTAGAAGCCGTTGCCAGGAACGGCTCATGAAGACACAGCAGGCTGGGAAAGGTTTAGCGTGTGCTGTGATGATTTGTGAAGTGTGGAGATTAGCGATAGCGCTGTAATTACTTGTAGTTCCAAGTGGTGTAAGTGGTAAGTAAATGCATCCATCAGTCCATACTCAATCTATAGTCACATCCCTAAATCATGCCAGTATCATAGTTGTGAAAAATTGATCTGAAAGTTTTGATCCATTTGCATGTTTTAGCACCAGTGAATAAGAAAAAGGTACGTTTATGTTACCATCACTCTCTATGTGTATCTGTTGACTTATTTATTCACTCTCCACATATGGTCTATTCTTTGTCTTTTCATGTAGTAGAGGGGTGATCAAAATCCAATATAAAATTTATTGTAAGTAAAGGTACGTGACGGAAGAAGAAAAATATTTAATCACTTTATGTTCTATATTTTGGCAGCAAAGGAAAAAGAAAATGCAGAGGAAAACAAAGGATATTGCAGTGATTATTTTAACTAATCATATTAAATTCCTTATCATTACACATTCAGGTATAGGAATTGTATATTCATTGTTTTGAATATGTAAGCAATAAGAAATAAGTTCTAGGAAGAAATAATCACCTATTTCCCTTCGATAAGACATGGAGCGCATAAAGAAACCATTCGGCCAACAATTCTTCTTTGTTTAGTGTATTCATTGCATCGGAAACATGTTTACCAAGCCGTTGACTAGCAACGATAAGGGGGATAACATTATAGAAACACAGACTGAAGTATGCCGTTGAGATTGGCTCAGCTGCCATGATGTACATACCAAGATTCATAAAGACTGGTTCAGACACTCAACAGTTGATAAGGGAGATACACAGACGCACAGACAGTGAGATGATCTCATAAGCCTACTTTTACTTCTTTCGAAATACGGAGTGTAAGCTAAAAATTTTTATTGTTTTGTGTTGTGTTCAAGACAAGTCTCAATTATTGTTTCTTTCAAACGTTCTGCTGAATTCCTATCGGTGGAAATATATGATATTCTTTTGATGATACAGTTGTGTGCGCGGCGACTGACTTGAATTCGGAGATATGTGAAAATATGAAGCATGTGATCGCAAAATGCGTACTTTACATAAAAATCCGTTAGCTAGGTTATTTAATACGTAACATGAGTTGATGCCGTATAACATATTTCGACCTGTAAATGTTAAATTTGCGCTCGACGCAATTATTTAACGATGACTGGCATATAATTTTGTATAATTTATATAAAAACCAAAATTTAAGCTTGAAATATAATTTTATTCTGTTCCATAATATAAATTTTCATTGCAAAACCTGACCAATGTCACAGTCACCGTAAGTTGTTTGGTACGGTACCCGGAAGTTATTTCAAGCCGAAACATGCACACCAAAGTTTTGTTTGTACACGGGTCAGCTTTATCCTTAATTTATGAGGACGAGTGTACTTTTCGGTGTGCAGACACAGAATGGAAAATTTCATGCTGTGATTTAACAAGCAGGACAGCCGAGGAAAGAAACTATACGCTTTTAAATTAATTTGCCGTGAAATGACAACATGTTTATACAACTTACCAGTTTATTACTCACAGATGTAGAGTGGAAAAACGGAGGCCGTTTTGAATACGTGAGTGATCCGACGAAAGAAAGGATACGCTCGAGAGCTTCTTCTTCTGCTTAAAAAATGTGTTTGTTTATATACCACTGTCTCATACAAGAATGTACAGTAGATATACTTGTATTTATGCAGGTTTTTACGCGTAGGTGATCATACAAAAAGTTCGGTTTCTGTATTTCGCGCATGGGAATTAAATCCGCGAAAGTAATGATATTATTTCAGAATCAAGAGAAGTGGTAGTGCTTCTAAAGTAATTCTTACCGCATGTTATGATTTTTGATAATTCCACGAGCCTAAACTGCATTATCCTATTATTTCTATTTCTGTTCATCTCATTCATTTCACCTATTCCCTCCCTCTGAATTTCTCTTGCTCCCCGTACAATTTCCCTCGGTACATTTCTCAGTCCGTCTCCTATTGGTCCACCCACACCTCCTGTCCTGGTCCTTCCTTCCTCAATCAGGATCACTTTCTCGCAGGAAACAAGCAGAAGTCATACAAATTAGTAAACTGCAAATGTTCGCAATACTGGGTAAGGCGAACTTCGACACAGAAAATATAAGAGGATCGAACTTGGCGGCGATCAAATTTACGACCGTTCAAGTGAATAGGATACCGTTGTAGCCTGAGCTACATAAAATATTGAATGATCTTCTGTCTTCAGTCGGTATATATATATACACGTATTGACATATTTTTATACCATGTAATAACATTTAAATTGTAAATAGTATGTACATACTGAAAATTGACTTATTACCGCTGATTGTGACGCTGAGGAAATGGCCGTGCCATGGCTCAAGCGGTTAGTCGCTGGCTTCCCACCGCGGCGGCCCGGGTTCAAACCCGGTTCTGGTCAAGTGCGATTTATGGTGGACAAAATGGCGCTAGGGCAGGTTTTCTCCGAGTACTCCGGTTCCCCTGCCAATCTTCATTCCACCAACTGCTCCACAATCACCCTCACCTATCATCTTGGGCTGGTACAATAGGCCAGAAGTGGACGCAGTACAAGGGACTTAGTCCCACCCCACTAGCAATAAAAAATGACTGTGAGGAATGACAGACCTGTCTTCTCGTCAGAGAGGGTGCCTAACATGGCAAAACTATACCTGTGTATCAGTAACTAATATGTGGTCATGAGCCCCAGACGGGGCTCGATAACAAGACGGGCTGACTGACTGACCGTCGGATGCAACGTGACTTTGAATTTGCTCTGCTTCCCTGAAGTTTCTCCCGAAACATCGACAGCGATTTACCAGATTACACGGCGTCACATCCCAGAATACAGCAATCGTCACAATGACCGCTGTGAGCACTTCAGATCGCGCAGTAAGTTTCTCCACTCATGCCTTGCCGTCAGTAGATGGAAAACAGCTGCCTCATGGGCCCTGGCCAAGTGCAGCCCACAGGAAGAGGGGAAATAAAGGGACTGACTAACTAAACAGAACTGAAAAAAGATTTGGAAAAAGCACATGTAATTGTTACAAGTATATTCGGTACGTTAGGAAGAAGGATTGTGAGAAATTAGTCATCACACAGTTTATTCAGAAAAATATATTACCTCTCCACCGACACAAATAAAGTGTATATAATTTACTATGATCAAATTGACATTTTTTTGCCCCTAGATTATCTTACTTTCTCTTTTTGGGTTGCTAATGCTTTCATAAGAGGCTGGTAATTCTGTGTAACGTTTCTCGTAATGTTAGTAACAAGACATTTTCCAAACAGAGCTTACGGGTTTTGTTCATGTGATTATCAGAACAAACCAAGCACCTTTCCCTAAGCACCATGAGCCTTCTGATTTCTGTACTTCAAATGTGTTTTTTTTTTGCGGGGCCAGAAACGGTTTTACAATGTCTTATCATTGAACTCTGTCCACCAAAACATTTACAACGAAAAATATTACGTCAGTATTTTGTTGATGACAATGACAGTGATGTTAATGAAAAACGAGTTTGTACTTAAAACCTTGTTTGTTTTCCAAGGTCACCATTTATTCAGCTTAGTCTCTATAGCAACTGAGTTACGGGATGTACAATCGAGGAATCGGGTTCGTTTCCCATTAGAGGTAAGAGATTGTTCTCTTCTTCCCAGCGCAGCCCACCCAGCCTCCAACCCAGTGGCTACTACAGCAAAGCTGCCGAGGCTTGAAACTGACCACTAACCTCTGTCCAGTACCAAGGTTAAGAATTCGTGGAACTGTATTTCCATTCGCCATACGTGTTCATGGTGAGGGGTCTAATGAGGCACAGGAAATTCCCTTATGCGTGTCTTCATGGTGAAGTGCTGAACTGAACACAGCAACAACTTTTCTGTCATAAGTGTTGTTGGAGTCTTTCTTGGTTGCTGGTGACAAAGAAGATATTTCAAGGACCATTTTCCCTTCTACACAGTAAATATGCCTAATCATCTTCTCATATGATTGTATAAATAACTTCAGCAGTTGAACGGCGTTGTTTAAATCCTACAAACCAACAGATATCGATTCTGAATCGTAGGTCGCCATTTACGAGTAATTTAGTACCAATGCTAGGAGTTCCCAAATTAATCCTTTCCCTGGATCCAATCACAGGAGCGCTTTGCTTACAAACATTGGCTTCCTGTAACGCTTTCAGCACCATAGAAACATAAACTGGCCCTCTCTTGGTTCCATCATCACTCTCTGTGGTCACGGCCCTCTTTTGTCAACGGTGATGAAGTTCTATTTAGAACAGGCCCGGTTACTTTACCTGTAATTTCTCGTCAAATGAATAAATACTGAACATCTGTATATAGAGAGAGACGGTCGCTTTGATTGAGCGTCTGGTTGTAGCTGACCTCAAACTAAAACCGGAATAAAATAACTAAAAATAAAAGTAAAGTAAACGCAACTATTTGACTGATTGCATGGCTGCACGAATGAATGACGGAGAGTGTGACTAGGCGACTTAAAATAGTTTACAGTGAGTGACTGGCAAGGGTGGAAATGTCTATTACTTTCTAAGCAGACACACCAGATCATCAAATTAATCCGAAGAATGAACAACACGAATTGTTATGACGTCTCAAAGCGAAGGCCATAGCTTCTTTGCAAAGAAGTTCTGCAATTAAGTAGGTGATCTCTACTGGCGCCAAAGACTATTCCCAGCCTTGCTGACTGGCGACTAATTTGCTGGAAACTGAGGAACACAAGATGTTTAACACTGTTTTATCGCCTGTTAATATTATAGTAATTAGCAGAAAGCGACAAGGCTTGGAAGGTCAATCGAAACAGAAACGTCTGTAAATCGAAGAAAACCTCATGCGGGCTGAATACGAGGTAGGGTGTGGCATGCCTATGCCTCAATTAAAAAAAAGAAGGAAATATGGTATCAAAGATATGAATTTGAGGTCTTTATATAATGATAAGCGTTTCTTGATATACGAATTTTATTACACAAATATTATATTGTACATGGGCAAGAGGTCTGTAGTAACTACGAGGGACATTCGGAAAGTAAAGATACCAATCCAGTAAAAGTGCAAGGGATTTTTATTCCTCAGAAATGGCATACTTCCGTGTGAGATAGGAAACGTATGACAAGGCTAAGTTCACGGCCACAGTCACGGCAACGTTTTGCTCGCAGTGTGTGTTTAAAATGGCTGTGTCAATTCAAAATCCCGCCAAATGTGAGGTTCGTGCAGTAATTCGAATTCTTCATGAGAAATGGGAAACTGCTGCTGAAATTCATCGCCAACTTGTTTCTGTTTACGCTGAAGATGTTATGAACAGGCAAAACGTGACAAAATTTTATCATGAATTTGAAGAGGTAAGAAGTGATATTCAAGATAAAATAAGGAGTTGAAGGTCATCCATCGTCACTGATGAAATCGTAGAAAATTTGATGAAAACCTTTGTGCTGACAGAGGTTTAACCATCGATAACTTGAAGAGCAATGTCCAGAAGTGTCAAGAAATGTTCTCAGGTTCTAAGAGAGCAGGCGGGAAATTTCTACGACGCTGGAATAAAAATCTCTTTCCCAGACCCACTAAGCGCATCGCGATCAATGGTGACTATGTTCAAAAGGAAATAAAGGTATATTGTAAAAGCGCTACAATTGAATCCCTAAATAAACGCTTTGCAAATATTTTCTGGACTTCGTATCTTTACTTCCCGGACATCCTTCGTATATTCGCTACATTATTTACCAGGGGAATAATTGGCGATATATGGTAGGTAATTTCTTGAAAATAAGTTTCGCTTATTCTGTGTGAAATGTTCAATAATAGAGCAAAAATGGATCTGTCAGACTGAACTACGAGAAAGCGGACTCTACAACATTTTGTTGCGATTATAATACTAGAAACGTGCGTTTGTTCTTCAATTTGTGTGTTTACAGCAGTGCTTCTCTTCAGCCTGATGAAACTCTGTACATGCTGGCTCTACTGAAATTAAGAAATCAAGCAAAAGTTTCGTCGAAGTAGTTAAAAAAATTGCGCTTCAACTTTCAGTGTAATTAATTTCTTACATTTCAATAAAACAAACGTTCATTTAATTCAATATATGAATCTTAATACGTTGGTCCTCAAATTCTGAAATTCATAAATGTTTGCACGAGAATTGCAATTTGATAATATGGATCTTTTAGAACAGATACTGTTGGTTACTCAGTATTATATTCAAAATTGCCGGGAATATAGATCGAAGCACTTTTATATAAGCCTGCACGACGTTTAGAGGCTTGAACTCTGGACCTGTTTTCTGCTTGGTTAGTGCCCTAACCAAGAGACCGTCAGTTCCAAATATAACAAGTGACAGCTATTTGGGGGAATCATCACCCATAGAATTTTTACAGTTTTTAAAGCCCCGTCATCTGTAGGGAAATTATTCTTACAGGCAAATGCTTTCGAAAGGGATTTTGGCAGTAGCGAGTATGTTAAAATATTTATAATAATATCTTCTTTGTTCTTACAAGGTTTCAAAGCAAGTGATGTTTTCTATTGTATGAAGGGATTAGGGCAGATTAGCTATAAATGTTTAGGTTTCACATTATAACCATTAATGATGCTTTCTAGGAAAATAACATATTATTTTTTACGTAGGCATGTGAAAGTAGGTGAAACAATGTTTCGTAACACGTCTTAATGTGACAATGACAGATGCGAAATTAGTGATAATCTTGTTTAACACTCTTCTGTTTTCGGTGGATTCAAATGGTAGCCGCTATATATTAAAGACTTCTAGCTGTATTACAGAAATGCTAACGACCCCTCCCGTAACCTACAAAAAACCGGAAGGAAACGTCTGTTCTCTATTCCGGCTGTGAAGACAGAAGTTTAGTGATTTTGCTCAGGCGAATTCCTGGATAGTATTTTCAAGTTGGCTGTGATCGATTCCTTCCAAATCGTTACCAACTGATGATTCAATATACTCGCTTTGTCTTCGTAATATAAACAGTGTCACTGAATAATTTATTAATTATTTAAAGACTCAGGTAAGCACAGGCGTATCAAAAGCTCGATGATATGGCCTGGCAGGGTGCAAAACAATTTGTAATCTTAAAGAATGATGATTAATTTGTGTTATGACGTCGTGTTAATGCAATTACTCACAGTCGGAAAGTAGACTTATGTTCATTAACCTCCCTTCCCCGTTTTTCAGAACCAGAAGGGGACCTAGTAATTATTCTTTGATCCCGGAAAGTTCCAGTCATGGTGCAGTGTGCCAGAATTCGCGTACAGATGGGAACCGTGCGTTCAAATGTCTGCAATATACTGTACATTCTGCCCAATAGTCAGATAAGCTTCTTGTTTAGCAGAAGACTAGACTGAAAGTTTTTGGCTCATGCTACAGTTCATATAACAAAATTAGTTAGTTTCTTGCAGTTCTTAGTACAAATCTCAATTTCCTTTCCCTCATAAGGAGCGTTCCTTGACCGTCAACTCTGATAGCCTGCACATTAACACAACAACAAAATATCGCCGTGTTTTAGAATCGTGTTAAAATCATCAAAGAATCTCGTTCAATCTCGATGCCTTTTTTTGGAGGTCCTTGCCATAACTTAGTTCACAAATGATGTCCGAAATGTTCTGAGACCAAAATAGGTTTCAATATGGCTTTTCATCTTGGCTTCGGGAACAAAGACCTTTGAGGATCATTTCTGGATAATATAAGAATGGATGTAAATGATTTATGATACACCTATAAAATCAGGAAGCAAAAGTTTGATAGCGACTTCTATGACATGCCGAGTTGCATGCTGCTTCCGTCACACTCGACATTCTGCTTCAGACTGACAAAAGTGAGTGTTACTTTCTGGGCGCACTTCTGACTCCCATCGATGTCCTCTTCAGTTCTGCCGTCGCTTGAAGGGGTTCCTACTACAGGCCCTTTAGGATAACAAAGAATAAACTGTATTTAGGATTAGAATCCGTGCAGCATACACAATTCGAAAATATTCCAGTCCATCCCGAGCATATTTTCCGCATTGCACACCCATCCTGTCAGTGTACGCGTACTGAGGAATTCGACGATAATGTGGTAGTCATCTGGCATCACACCGAGGACTCGTAGATCACTATCTGCACGACAGGTGGGGGTTGCTTCTTTGGACTCGATGCAATGTCCCTCAGGACTGCTGCCATCGCTTCTTCCCACTCTCGGCGCTCCTTAGCGCCCGATTCGCCAGACTGTGAACACGAAACACGAGTCGAGAACTGTAACTGTCTCACGTACACTCGATATGTGAACGCCACTGACATTGTTTGTTCATTTATTGGCAACTAGCATAGGGACATCTTTAAATATGAGGGATAAATTTTTGCATTCATGAATGTTATTATGGAATGAGGGCATAAAATATATTTAGAATACAATATCAATGCACGTGCATTATTTTTCGTGCACATAATAAAATTTTACGGCTTACATAAACTCAATAACTTTTAAGTTCTGGCGAGGCAAATGTAGTTAATACTATGAGTATGGCTATATTGTAAAGGGTTCTGGCGTTGATGTATAATGCTCAGAATTACTTGGCTTTTGGACTCTGTCCATCGTCCGGTCTGACTGAGGTTGCCTCTCTCTAAGCCACCTGACAGAGCATATTTCTCTCTCCCCTTACCTGAGGACAGAAAGATCAATTTTCCGAAACGTTGTAGCTTCTAGTTTTTGGAATACCATATGATGGACAAAACCCAAAACTCCATTAATTCTGAGTATGACTACAATGTTCCGTCCCATCCGTTATCAGATTCTGCAATCAGCGTGCGTATGTATGTATGCTTTGTATGGGGCAGAAACTTGGACACTTAGGGCAGTAGATCACAAACACCTGGAAAGCTTCGAAATGTGGTGTTGGAGAAGGATGGAGAAGATCAGTTGGACCGATTATGTGAGAAATGAAGAAGTGTTATTTAGAGTCAGTGAGCAGAGGAATATCCTACACGAAATAAGAAAACGGGAGGCTAATTGAATTGGTCATACGTATCTTACGCGGTAATTGCCTTCTAAAAGAAGTTATTAAAGGAAAGATAGAGGGGTGGATAGAAGTGACCAGAATACGAGGAAGAAGACGTACGAAGATGCTGGATGACCTTGGGGACAGAAGAGGATATTTTCATTTGAAGGAGAAAGCCCTAGATCGCATCAAGTGGAAGAACTGTTTTGGAAGAGACTGTGGACCTGTCGTCTTGACAGATTACAGATGAATGAATGAATGTATAAACAGCAGCGCGACACTTCCGTCGGCATTCCCGCGAATTCGCACCGAAAGTGGTGCGAATTGTACTTTACATTAGTTTTACTCTCCCATATTGTTAACACACATATATGAAAAAGTGCTGTTGTCGTGAAAAATTCACGGGTATTATACTTTACAGGTTGTGTCATTTAGGTTATAGCATTGTTGCTATTCATAAGCGACACTTATTAAGTATATGCAAGAAAACTCTATATCTGCAATTGATTCTAGGCACTGCATTAATAAATTGATTTTAGGGTCAGGGAGAAACTACACGTGTATGTCGAACATATCAGAGAAGAAGTTACTAACAATCTTGAGACAAACAAAATAAATGAAGACCAAATTCTATACAGGCCTTAGGCGAAGATACTTTTCCAGTGGAGTTTCACTTCGTGGAGTTTTACTTCGTATTACGGTCCACTGTCGCTGTGACTAATGTTATCGGACATGAAAATACACCACAAACGATCGTATTATTTTGTTGCATAATTTTTTTTATTGCTAGTGGGGTGGGACTAAGTCCCTTGTACTGCGGCCACTTCTGGCCTATTGTACCAGCCCCAGATGATAGGTGAGGGTGATTGTGGAGCAACTGGTGGAATGAAGATTGGCAGGGGAAACCGAAGGACTCGTAGAAAACCTGCCCCAGCGCCACTTTGTCCACCACAAATCCCACTTGACCAGACCCGGGATCGAACCCGGGCCGCAGCGGTGGGAAGCCAGCGACTAACCGCTTGAGCTATGACGCGGCCCTTTTTGCATAATAAGTCGCAATTAACAGGAGGCATACATAGATTTTGCTGAAATCTATGATCTTCACGGACGTGTAAATTTAAGCTCTCGTATTATCTGCATAAACCTAACATACACTTAGGTTATGCCGTTTATTTCAGACTAGAGCCCTCGGTACGATTCTGTTGGACTGGTTTATATGTAACCTTGTAAGTGCATGCTTTGAAACGGAAAGAAACTTTCCAGAGCTTCATAAACTGAATCACATTTCGTGATGGATGCTGACTTTACTTCACATATTCACATCAAAACATTATCAATACTCACCTAACGACACGACACACTGCAAGAAATGGCTGCTTGCTCGGTTGTGACTTCTTAGATAACTTGTTCGTGCTATGTGTTAACGATCGGTAATCTTGCTATGGCAACACGGAATTTCTTAATTTCAGGACTTTTATCTCACAGTTATATTTCAGTTATATATGTGTAGAAGGATTATAAATTTATTAGTAAAAGACAATAAATCATTTAAAGACAAGAGATGAAACAACTCACGAAACGCGGGGTATTTGTGATCTCAAATATAACGCATACTGTCCCATACAATATTCATACAATTTAATAAAATCTTGTGTTGCCAAGGGATTTTTTCTGTATTATGATTTTCTCCACCATATTGCTTCCACTAAGTTCAGATTTCACATATTGACTATCACACAAATCAGACCACAATCCTGTACCTGCACCCGCCGGGGAACGCTGACTATAGTAAGCATCTTCTGCAGGGCTGTGACATCTATACCGCCCCCAGCGCTTTCGCCGAGCCGTCTGAGAGTGTCAGCCAGAGGCCCTGAGAGAGCCTGCAGCCTGCGCCAGGACTGGGCATATTGTCTCCTCACCAGCTCAATGATGGTAGACGTGAGGGCCAGCCCCACCAGGATATACAGCGTGCACAGCAGCATGTACTTGGGTTTCTCTGGAAGGACAGAACATCGGTATGTTCTTCTCTTTAGTGGGCAAACAATAATGATAGCGTCAAATGCTCTCAAACAGGACAAGCGCATTATGAAGCTCTACGACTTTTACGATCTGTTCTGAGTTATTACTCGTAAAAAAAAATAAACTCCTTCGTTTTTAGTCCGCAAGCGAACTATACCGACCGAGCGACAGCCTCTTGTAGGCGAAGTTCTGAGTTACGCATTTCAATATTACAGACTTCGTGGGAAGGCATCATCAAGCGCATGAATCGAAATGCTACACATTCTACAAGATATTCCAAATTTGCGCGTTCGCGTGCTGTTTCTCATATTTCACGAAGAACTTCCTTTCAAACGGATACTTCATGGCATTCTGGAATTTTGGCCTCAGATTTCCAACGAAAGAGGTGTTATTATATTGTATGACTTTCAATTACATACGCATCCCCCTAGGCTGTGGGGAGAATATTTTCCATTTCTAATCAAAACAGTCTCGACAGTGAATGTTACATGAGAGTAAAGTTCCTGTCTTTAGTCCATAAATATACGAAGTATAAAAAGAATATTTCCTATAAGGGTAGCAGATATTGTGAGATGCACCCCTTAATTTATACACTCTTCATTTTATGGAAATTCGATTTGAGCTTCGTGCAACTTATGGGTTATAATAGGCTGATACAAGTCATCAAATGCAGTGCAGACTTTTACAGTAGATTTCAAAATCCAATTTTATCAAAATCCTTCCTGTATGCAACATAATTTCAAAATTCACACAAAGGCAAATAGAAGTGCAGGCTAATGATACGGCGCTGGGATATTATATTTCTATTTCACCGTCTAATTTTTATTTGTACTTGTAAATAAGAACAAGCAGAACAAATAGCACAAATAAAGTTTGGTACATCGAAACAAAATAGGTAAAAGATATAGCCAGTGCTTGCCGCAGTAACGGCCTTTACATTATATGATTCGTGAGGGAAATTGTCTACAGCTTAGGTAGGAAAGTTTTGGTCCTGAGTGAATACAAGACTGTGAATAGAATGATGTCTGAAATGTATGTTTCTAATATTTCTATAGATCTGAGAAAAGAAATGTGGGAAATACTTATTGCTTACATTTATAAGACAAGCCTTAAAATTGTATATTGACTTAAAAACTGTCGTTTCTGACATTTCCCATCATGCCTCATTTGCATATTTTGATAGCAGGTGCTCATGGTCTGCCATTATATTTAGAATAGAACAAGTATTTCCCCCATCAATACATATTCCATGAACAATGATTTTTTTCTCGCCTTGAGAGAACGGAACCGTAATTTTGTTGCTCTTTCTTTGATTGCTAATTTCAGCATTACAATATAATGACAAATTTTGACACAGAGTCAGGGTGCCCCTTGTTATTACTTTTCACTAAATCTGAGAACGTTGAAATGTTTTTAATTTGCGAGGAAAATTTTGTCACCTGGAGCGGCATTTAAGCTATTGCCATACACATGGACCACTTTTCTATTCCAGAATTCTAGAAAGTAGTTAACAAAGTAAGTTACAGTTTACAGTGTGATCATAAGCGATCGAAGTTGTGTGTACTTTTAAAAGGCATAAAATCTAGTGGTTTTTATGCGGCTCCGTCAGACACAATTGTGCACAATGGCGCTAATTGCATACAACTCCTCTGCTAAGCAACGTATTTCGGACAGTTCGACCATCATCAGGCTCCTTGCACTGCTGCAATGGAAGATTCTTGCATCTGTATTATTGTGTGCCGGTCACGGTAGCCGAGCGGCCTAGGGCATGTACTGTCTTCGCTCGCTCGGAAGCAGGGATCGTAGGTTCAAATCCCACACAAGGCATGGATGTTTGGTATGTGTATGCGTGTATTCTGTGTTTGTATTGTCCTATGTTTAAGTACAGTCCAAGAAGTCCTACCGTCTATAAAAAATTATCAATTAAACTGAGAAATCAACCCTATGTTCCAAAAATTGGAGTGAGAGAGAAAAATATTACGTCTAGATGAGATTTTTGAGTTTTCAACTTCGCGTATTTTGGTATTACGTTTGCTTCTGAGCAGTTTTGTCAAAATGTTTGTGGGATTTGCAAAATAGCAGCTCTCGCTTAAAATTCATGTATTTAAGAACTTTTTCATTTAGAGTAATGTATGAAACTTTGTACTGGAATGGTGTGTTGCGTTTTGTGCAGGTAGAGTATGAGTTGCCTACAAGAAAACTTAATACGAAAATACGCAAAGTTGATATCTCAAAACTCGTACATGCGCATGCAGCAGTAATTTAAACACTGACCCACATAGCAGCTACAGGATAATTTGTTGCCTAACCTGACGATGGCCGAATAGACCCAAGCATGCCGCCTAATGAAGGTGCATGCAAACAGTGTAACTGTAAGCAGATGTGTTTCAGGGGAGTTTGTGATACCGATGGTACAAAACAACACGAAGCTCCAGCACAATATTTCATAAAGCTTAGCAGTTGACCGTTCCATAGCTCAGGCGGTTAGTCGCCGGCTTCCCACCTCGGTGGCCCGGGTTCGAGGCTAGTTCTGGTCATGTGGGATGGGTGGTGGACAAAATGTCACTGGAGTGGGTTTCCTCCGAGTACTTCGGTTTCCCCTGCCAATTGTCATTCCACCGACTGCTCTACATTCATCATCATCATCATCATCATCATCATCATCCGGGGCTGGTACAATAGGCCAATTAGTGGCCGACGTACCAAGTGACCTCAGTCTCACCACCCCACGAAACTAAAAAAGAACTAAGTTTATCGGATGGTACACTGTCTTTGCCCAGCTGTAATACTAGTACGTACTTGGCACAAGGTCACCGAAGCCTATGGTAGTCATGGTGACGAAGCAAAAGTAGAAACCCTCGAAAAAGCTCCAGTCCTCCTCCCAGAGCATGAAGAGCCCAGCACCCGCTGCTAGATACAGGAAGAGGAACACGACTGCGGCAGCTGCGGTGAGGGACCGACGCGCCGCTGTGTTGACACTCAGAAAGACGGCGGGCGCAGGCGGAAGGTGCTTCCTCATGCGTGCGTGCAGAGATGACACGGCTGTCGCGAAGATGTGGCCCATTGATGCTATGACGCTCAGCGTCAGAGGTATACCTACCAGCGCAAACAGAATGCAGAACGCCCGTCCCCCGAATGTCGCAGGAACGATGTTACCGTAACCTATGAGACCAATAAATGAACATAGAGACAGTGAAAAAAAGAGAACAGTCTTTGAGTAGCCAGTGCTCGCCCGGGAAATGAAATGTCATGATATTTTTATTGAAACACAGTATCATTAATTCTTTCTCAACACGCAGCCACTGTTTCTGAACTGACCAACACGAAGTGAGCCCATAACTACACATTCTTTATCAAGATTCACTTTAATATTACTCTCTCGTATGATTATCGTAATAATATTTGGTAAACAGAAGGAATTATGAACCTGTTCAGGATACACTTATCATAAACATTATATGCTATCACGTGTATGGGTGACTATTTGTAGTTGGATTTATTGAGCACTTACAGATCGTTACTACAAGTAACTATAGAGCTATCGGTAATTCACACACTCTACAATTCACTACAGCACGCACTAAATCTTCTTAACCTGCTGTTATCTTCACCGGTTTTCATCTGGTAACGGCTTCAAACGTCGTAGCTCCTTCAACTTCCGTGTTCACTTCCTTACTGGCTGGCGAATGTCTCACAACTAACTACTTTATAGACATGTTCTGCTTATATCACCTCATCACGTACTGCATAGGAAACACGGCTTCCAACATTTCTACTGTTGTGTCACGCAGCTGTCGCAAGGACTGCGCAGAGAATATTTCTTCCTAGTTAGTCCATTGGGGCGTGTTAGAAATCTGTTGCTTAGCAACAGACGCTGTTTACAGAGTCATTACTTAGCAACGAGTCTACATACTACAATAGATTAACCGTAATACTATACATATAAAATTGCTATACGGTACTGAATCTGGAAATCATGATAAAATTATTTCAGGAGTGAAGAAAATCTTTGAAGATGCTTTAGGCCAGCACGCGGTAGCGTAGTTGGTTGAGGCACTTGCTAAAAGCCAGAAGGTCGGGGGTTCATGTCCCGATGAGGTCATTGGATTTTTTCAATTGACCTAATTCTTCCAGACGCAATATGACCTGGGGTAGACTCAGCCTCCAACAGAAATGAGTAAGAGGAATATTCTTGGAATGTTACTGGGGGTAAAGGGCGACCGGCGCGTAAGGCTGACAACCTTACAGCCATCTATGAGCCGTTTGTCTAGAAAATGTGGGACCCTCAACGTCTCACAACCCTATGGGCCTTCATGGTCTCTTACAGGGATAGCTTCACTTTTTTAGGCCAGTACATTTCTTTGTTTTCACCCTTTTAAGATTTAATTCTGGAATATCTATTCTACGTTTTCGTCTGAATCTCGTAACAAAATCGATAATCTTTACCGGAGGGCACATAGTACATGAATGTTGCAGCCTGAAAAACGAAGCAGATTTCTAGCCTATGTATATTTCCCGAAACTGCCAGATTCATTACTGTGCATGCGTTAGTTGCACAAAGACCGCACAATAAGTACAAATTTCTAGAGTCAGCACAAGACGCCACTTAGCTCAATCTTCTTGCTACAAGACCCCCTCCAAAATATTAAGTGATTACCGTTTCTCTAAAGTCAACGGACGCCCCATCAGAGTCTCTGAGGAAATTGTCGGTTTATTTACATCGAAAAAGAAGCGGCAGATCCTGCAGCCAATCCGATGTGTCCTGTATAAATGAGCACTCGTATCTCCCCTCCCACTCTTTTATTATTAAAGCAAATAAATAAAATATAAATAGATAGGTACAAGCGTACTTCATCTTCACTGTAGGAATAGGCGTCTGGTGTGTCCTTTGATGAGAGATTGTTGCTTTTGGAAGCGTACAGGCCACATTAGTGTTGCCATTAGGTTGTATATGTTACCAGTCTATGAAGATGCCAAAATGCAGCCATATGATCATAAATATTTCAGGAACTCTGAAGCAGCTTCACAGCTTGGCTTCCTTTTTATTTCTAAAAGACCTCTTTACATTTCTGTTTAAGCTTCACAGCAGACAACGGCAAACTTATAACGAATACATCATGAACCACCCGAATTTCTGTCATATACACATCGTGTAACTAATTATATAGCATAATTGAGTTAAATTGAAAGCATCTGCAGAAGTTATAATATTTTATCCATCTGAATCATGAATTTTATATAAATAATATCCATAAATTCAGTTTTTCCAAAACACGAAGTTCATTGGGTCATTTTTTTTTCTTTGGCACTACAGCCCCAGTGGGCCTAGGCCTACCACCATGAACGTCTCCGTTCACTTCGGTTTTTCTTGATCTTACACATTCGGTAGGACTCCTTGGGCGGGTGATCAGCTCGTCGCAAGGCCTCTATCTGTACACAAACACAGAAAAACGCACACACACAAACTAAACATCTATGCCCTGAGTGGGATCCGAGCCCACGATCCCGGCTTCCATGCCATTGAAGACAGTACATGCCTTAGACCGCTCGATTACCGTGACCGACCATTGGGTCATATAGGATTTGAAATTCGCACAGCGGTGATTATGAGGAGTCTTGTTTCTTTAGGATACAACGCCGGGCAGCATGTTCTTCCGAAATATCAGTTAAATTTCCACCGGACTGTACGGCGTTATACCCCAGAGGACGTAACTCTTCACAATGCGTCTCCATTACAAGGACCAATCCATTTATACTGTTCATGGAAATAATCACTCTTTATTCCGAGAACTTTGTGAAAGGTGTAAATATACTCTATGGGCAAAATATAAAGCATTTTATTGGTAAAGTAGAGGGTACATATACTAACCATACACATTAAATTGTTAATTATCTCCAGTAGTCGGAATCCCTTAAGGTTTATCCTCAACTTTCCCATGATCAGATTTTAAGAGAGCAATAAACGCAGCGCTTCTCTTATCTTCTTGGTAAAGATATATAAATTTTTTTAAATTCCCAGTTTGTTAGATTCACTTACTTACTTACTCATGGAGCTGAGCCCTTCTGGAGGAGCCACCAATTCTGCAGCTACTCAAGAATTTCCCGGCATTTTATGGAACCCGAAGGTTCATTACCGTGTTCACAAGAGCCATCCACTGGTCCCTATCCTGAGCCAGATCTATCCAATCCATACCATCCCATCCTATCTCTGTAAGATCCATTCTAATATTGTCCACCCACGTACGCCTTGATCTTCCCAGTGGTCTCCTTCCTTAAGACTTTCCCACCAATATACTATAGGCATTCCTCGTCTCCCCCATTCGTGCTATACGACCTGCCCACCTCATCCTCCTTGAGTTGATCATTCTAATTTTGTTAGAGTCACTAATCAATAATAAACACATTGCAGTCGGAATCTGGAATTATTTTTGTATGAGTTTACTCGTTATCAGCATTTAAATTTCGAAGTCGTAGAGTGATATCTGATTCCAGTACTTGTTGACAGATACGTGAGTAAATAAACTACATGATGTCAAGTGAACTCTAAAAACGCAGAGGAAATAGATAAATATATTGACTCTATTCAGCTTCAAATATTAGGCACGTAGAGCTTCGGAGGCCAGAAGACGATCATGAATAGTGAGGTAGTGCACATGTTCAAGGAGATGAGCGTAGCCTATTTAAATATATGATAACATTGCCCCATTCACCATGAAATACCGTCTAAAGCCACGAAGATTTTAAGTCATGAGAGCCAGCAATGTGAATGATATTCCAACTCAGTAACTTCTCAGCAAAACTTGGCAACATTGCTGCTTGAATAACCTGCTCGGTGGTAATTTTCAGTGAATCGCAAAGCTGTTTTATCAAATAAGTTATAGGTCTATGCGTTTGAGGCTATTTACTTGGATTTTATCCATTCTTCTAATTCTTTTATTTACTATTGTAATGATTTGGTAATGGGTTTATTTCCATCTTCAGGTGGACAAGACAGATCCCTACTTAGCAGCCCAACAGAGCGAAGGTTCCTTCAGGTAATTTCACCAAAGGCGGAAATAAAACAAGTTGCCTCATTGGTGAGGCTGTGTATATATAAAAAACGGTTCGATGGCCCAAATAACTAACTCCTGTGGTTAATAATATCAGAGGTTAATGAACTGCAATATGAACGAATTAAATTGTGGGACAGTAACATATATATATATGAGCATCTGGGTCACTTGCAGATGGATTCGGTGTGGTTTGTGACTGCAAAGATCTACTTATACACAGAGAAAGCTGAAAGAAGATTTGTTGACTTTTTACATCCTACGCACAAGAATTTGCATGATTTATGGAACGCTATGAGGTACAGCTTTATATTGCATTGCGTAAGACTGGCTCATCTTTTGGTCTAATTTTAAATCAGTATGGTAAAAATAAAGTAAGGTTTCTGTTTCTTTAAAATAATACATGTAGTCATAATTGTTTTCTGTATACGAAAGTTAAAATATATATAACCCAAATTGCTGCAGCTTTAACTGGGGGAACCAGAGTGTGTTTAATGTACATATGTTGCCTCAGCTTTTAAGTCTGTAAATTTCTGCTACAGGACTTTTCGTACTCGAATAATATTAGTTATATAACATAGGTCTATTTTTACTTTCGGTGTAGCTTCGAACATGGTACAGACTGATGGGAGGAAAGACGAACAGACATATTTTCCCTCTGATTCTTCCATCTTATGAAACGTACGTTTTTAAGAAATTTCTCCTTTGCTATTCGTTATGTGTTCTTTCAAAACTCACTAGAAGCAGTTCTGAGACAATGCAGTACGAATGCGACGATAAAGTCCTCTCTTCTGGGGCACAACGCCTTGTAGCCCGATTAAATTCGCTACCTACCTCATACTGGTTTCTTGCTTTGCTTCTTCTTCGACCCTGAAAACTGAGGCTCCATGTTTCTCCGAAACTTCAATTGACTTTTATTCACTTTATTCATAACCACTGCAGTGAAAACCTCAAATCCTAGGTAACACGCAAGCCCGATTCGCGCAGAACCTATAGAAAACTCAGTGCACTTGTCGAGCCATCTGAAGCCATGTAGCTAAATTTCGTGGCTTCATATTTATTTTACACTGTTAGTCATAGCCGGCCGATATTACGATCCCCCATAGATGGCGACTCTAACGTAGCCTATATTACAACAAAATTTCTCTCTACTCTGTATAGTATTTACCTATTTATTCTTGTTCTTTACTGGCGCTACAACCCTCTGTGAGTCTTAGCTTCCTCCATGGGCCTCCTCCGTTAGCTCGGGAGGTTTCGTTAGCCCCACCCAACCCCCAACCTAGAGAACCAGAGATTACACTTCGTCTGGCCCCTGCCCTTTGGCTGACTGATGTGGATGGCTCTCCCAGGAGCTTATACTCCCGCCAGCATAGCTGTCCGGGTCACTTAGGTGTTCAAATTTCCTCTCCGCTATATGATGGTAGTCTTCGGGGATGATTAATCTAACTGCATTTTATAATATGCTTGTCATTGGTACGGTTACCTCGAACTCTTAACAAAATTTTAGCGGCAGCCAATTACCTAATCCTTCAATTGCCGATGCATATCTTCATGCCATCATTAAAAAATTACTCCATTATATTTTCAGTACAGAATAGAAACTAAAATCTCCACACCGGAAATTGATGCAACACAAAGGATATTTCTTGTGTAAGGTTGCCTACTCAAAGTTAACGTCAGAAATGTTCGAAACCTCCCAGCTGTTCAGGAAATTCCAGTCTCCTGTGGAACCCGAAGTTTCATTATCGTATTCACACGAGCCCTCCCAATGGGCTCAATCCTGAACTAGCTGAAACCAATCTGAGCCCTCACTTTTTAACTTTTATGGTAAATTTCAAGAGTATCTACATTCAGGTCTTCGAACTTTTCTGTAAACTTTAAATTCTCCGAATAAAATATGTGCATTCAATTCTCCCATGCGTACTACACCTACCTCCCATCCATAAACAGTATTTTCTTGACTTGATGGCTACAATAACATTCAGTGAGCAGTACTGTTGAGCTTTCCATTATGTAGTTTACTCAGACCTCCTGGTAATTGCCCTGTTTTGCGTCTAAACATTTCCCTGAGCATCCTCAAGTTTTCTCCTAAGTAGAACGACAATGATTTACCTTCATACACGGAAACTGATAATGTTACATGTGTGTATATTTTATATTTACATTTACAGATGAGAGTTGGGAAAACCAGAAACTTTGAAATAAATGGTAATAAGCTACACAATACTTAATTCACTTCTGATTTCCGCTGACTATGATCGGAGCACGGAAATTTATAATATTGGAACCAATAATTGACCATAATTAATAAATACCAGAACAATAGTTAATTCATAGAAGATTGTAAAATTATATAGTGTGCGGTGACAGGCGTGATTCGCAGAAGGAATTATGTATGATATTCTAACATTAATGATTTTCAAATAATAGGATAATAATAAGTGCCTTATTTAATATACACTGAATAAATAAAATTGTGATAAACTTTTCTCTTGTAATAAACAATATTAATATTCACGTTTATATTTATTCAAATTGGCGAGGAGTCAAAATTGTATAACGATTGAATAAACAACGAGTATTAAGGCTTTAATGTTCACTGTTAGTGCATACACTAAAGAAAAATTATAAAAGTATGTAATGTTTTTAGTATATGCTTCAAACTTTTACTACTAAAATCCTGATCATAAAGCAGTCTGCACTTAATAGCAAAATTTTGTTTACTGATATTGAAAGCTGCAGTCGGCCATGGAGAAACAGCCGGATCCTATGCACTGACAAAGCTCCTTGTTACACCGCCCTAGCTGCGCAGTAATTTTTGGCGAGAACCGAGATTCCAATCACCGCCCAGGTAATGTATCCTCAAGATGGGGTTCAAAGGCCAGCGTTTTCGCCCGAGGAGAAAATTCAACAGAATGCGACAGCAGGTCTCAGATGTTTACTACAAGAGGACCTTCAGAGGTGCTTCCAGCAATGGTGGGAACGCTGGAGTAAATGTGTATAAGCAGAAGGACAGTATTTCGATGGTGAATTGGTTGGTTTCTTCACGTTAATCTTTTTATTGAAAAATATGCCTGAATTTCGGGAATATCTTGGTCCTCCTACGTACGTAAGTAAGCATGCAGAGAAATAAACTTTCCGCCTTTCTCTGGGTAGACCATTCACAGTGCTATTTATAAGACAACATGTCATTATACAAACCCCACACACAAAATGACAGTCCTGCAACTATTGTCATGAAGGCGAAGCACGGCATTCTCAATTTTCGTACAGACAGCTGCCCTTCAACGCTCTCTCGGTTACGTAATTCAGTCTACTGGGTCGGATGTTACTATATCAAATATCAGATCAAACATTATGACCGTTTTGATTGCTTGAATATCATCTGAAGAAAACTTTAAAATCTTAATCCAAATTCCATTCCCAACCCCGCGTTAGCTGAATCGAAAGTCCCTGCTGAGTTGCCTGTATTCCTGTTTCATATTCCAGGAATTTCATGTCCATACCGGTTATCCTGATTAAGATTCTACGTGGTATTACTCGGTTACTTCAGGCAAGTTCTGAGGGACTTATTTACTTACTCATGGAGCTGAGCCATTCTTGAGGAGCCGCCAATTCTAGAGCTACTCAAGAACTTCCCAGCAGTTTATGGAACCCGAAGTTTCATTACCGTGTTCACAAGAGGCCTCCACTTGTCCCTATCCTGAGCCAGATCAATTCAATCCATACCATCCCATCCTATCGCTCTGAGATACATTTTAATATTGTCCACCTACGTACGCTTTGATCTTCCCAGTGGTCTCCTTCCTTACGGCTTTCCCACCAATAGCCTATATGTATTTTTCCTCTTCCCAATTCCTGCTACATGCCCTGCCCACCTCATCTTCCTTGACTTGATCGTTCTATTTATACTTGGAGAAGAGTACAAATTATGAAGCTCCTCATTATGCAGTTTTCTCCAACCTCCTGTCACTTCATGTCTCTTCGGTCCAAATATTCTCAACACCCTGTTCTCAAACACCCTCAGTCTATGTTTCTCCCTTAATGTCAGAGACCAAGTTTCACACCCATAGAGAACCAGAGGCAGAATAGTAATTTAAATTAGGCCACTGCCTCTTTCTTGCAAGTATTTTCCTATCCATCAACCACTAACCATCCAGTTATTCGACTCTGTGTAATCTTGGTATCTGGAGCTTGTTAAGTTAACAAAGTAAGTAAAATATGAAGCTCGCATAGCCGATAAATAACCGATTCGTTGAAAGCGTGCTCAGTCGAAAGGCTTCTGTTTGCGTGATGTTCATATCGGGTCTCACTGAAACGGGCCAGTCCTTTATTTATTTATTACTTAACGACGCTATCTTAGACTATATGAGGGCTCTTGCGAACGCAATGAAGAACCTTTGGGTTCCATACATTTCTGGGAAGTTCTTGAGTAGTTGCACAAGTGGCTGCTTCTCAAGAACGGCTCAGCTTGTCTTAGACAACATAGCATGTGACAATAGGATAACTAGTGCATAATGGATTGGAAAGGAATGCAGCCGAAGTTTAATTTGAGGTACTATCACAGAATTCTTCTGGAAGAGCTGAGGAAAATGTTGAAGACATCAGCCAGGAGAGTTGTCGCGGCCAAAATTCGAAACGGACAGTTCCCGAATACAAGTCAGAACGGTTACTTTTCGTCGCAATTTCTTTGTATTTATTGTTTATAATACTGAGTATAGTGCATTTTCGTAACAAAGTTACGATTATAATTAGAATGGTCAAGTCAAGGAGGATGAGGTTGGCAGGTCATGTAGCACGAATGGGGGAGAAGAGGAATGCATATAGGATATTTGTGAGGGAGGCAGAAGGAAATAGAGCACTGTGAAGACCAAAACGTAGTGGGTGAATAATATTAAAATGTATCTTAGAGAAACAGGATGGGATGGTATGGATTGGATTGACCTGGCTCAGGATAGGGACCAGTGGAGTGCTCTGGTGAACACGATAATGAACTTTCGGGTTCCATAAAATGCTGGGAAATTCTTGAGTAGCTGCAGATTTGGCTTCTCCTCAAGAAGGGCTCAGCTCCATAAGTAAGTATGTATACTGAGTATAGTTTCCATTGGAGAACATGGGGGAAGACAGAATGACACTCTTGCAACACACATGCGCCTACAGCCTGTATACTTACCTATAGTTGTCAGGACGGTTGAGGCAAAGAACACGGCTTGCAGGAAGTTCCATCTAGCCGGCATTGGAACTGGAGTGTTTGGATTCAGTGGCAATGTGACGCCGCCCCTCACGGCCTCCTGAACCACTTCCTCATATTCGCCAAGCTTATGGGAAACGAACGATGTTAAGTTATGAAACTGTTCGCTATGATCGTGCCCCGAGTTGATTGTGTGGTTCACTATGGTGTGTATCAAAAACCGTCGTTCCTTGAGAACGCTTGTCTGCAGCTCTTGCAGCAATGACACCTCGGCTGGGGATTCCAGTTCATTGAATACCTGTGTGGCAAACATACTTATATGTGAGAACTTCCTTCTACCTTAGTCGGTCTTCTAGTGTATTTTTATTAAAATTGTTGCTGTCTTGTAAATCAATCAAGGAGTTACGAATAAAATTCTTGAAATTCCCTTAATTGGAACTCTAACTCAGACCGATTCTGGAACCAACATAGCCTTATTTCCAATGGGTACCGGGGCTCTTTCACCAGGAGTAAAGAGGCCGGAACGTGAAGCTGACCACTCTCCTCCAACTAGTGCCGACTTCAAGAATACGTGTGTCTGTACAAAACTCCCACTTACGACCTCATGACCTAGTGCTTAATTAGTTAAGCATAAGAACAACATTACCTAACAGATCTAGTACTGCGAGAAATGACAATTTCTTTTATTTTTGTGAGATTTATACTTAAATATAGGGCACAACTATATATATATATATATTGTAGCGTGTTTTGTGTGTCACGCTACAAATAAGTTCACGCCGTGGTTTGATATATAGCGAATTTATTTCTTTCGCTCATTTATATATATATAATACTTAAAATCAAAATTTCTTAACTAAACTGTGTCTGTAATCTTTTACTTAGAGACAGTATTCCAAGGAGGATAAGATGAATATGGAATGTGCCACGAATGGGGAAGAGGAGGAATGCATATAGGATATTGGTGGGAAAGCTGGAAGGAAAGAAAACACTGGGAAGACCACGACGTAGGTGGGTGAACAATATTAAAATGGATCTTAGAGATATAGGATGGGATGGTAGTGATTGAATTGATCTGGCTCAGGATAAGGATCGGTAGAGGGCTCTTGTGAACACGATAATGAACCTTCGGGTTCCATAAAATGCTGGAAAGTTCTTGAATAGCTGTACAATTGGCAGCTTCTCAAGAAGGGCTCAGCTCTTTGAGTGAGTGATTCACATATGATGTGTAGGTATGTTTGTAGATCTATGACAAATCCAGATATGACATGCCTAGCTCCAGTAAATCATTAGTTATCAGCAGGTCCAAATTATAATAGTACGAGTCCCTAGGTTGTGATAAACATGAGGAACGAATAATTATTTTAACCCTTTATCTTCCAGCCCTCACCAAAGAAATCGCCAAATCTACGTGAACTAAATATGTTTTCTCAGAAAGGTAAAACAAATTCTCAAAAGACCTTGGAACAACCACAGGACAGGTTATGTGAAAGCCACCATAAATCTCAGTATGTCAAATTTGATGCCATCTATTGAGGGAAATGCCGTACTAATTGATTAATATCGATCTCGTTTACTGTGACAATATTAGCGCAACTACTCGATTCGATCTGGGGGGTACGTGACGTGAAAATGTCTCAAAGAGAATAGCAGAAAAATCATTAATGTACACTAAAGACTTCTATTTGAACAATTACATGGAGATGCTTTAGAGTGAGAGGTGATAATCTGACAAAAAAATATAACAACATCGTGCTTAAGAGAAGTACGGTAATTTGATAAAAGAACGGTAAGTGTAGTTACTAAGCGATATCAATTTAAATGTGGACGTGTGTGAGTACGGATGAATTGTGGGCCATACGGTCGTGTATACGAAACTGCACAAATGCTTAAAATCTACCATTTGCTTCGCAAGAATCACACAGCTGCTCAAGAACTTTAAACAAAGAATGATGCAGACTGCCATTATGTTTCTGAATGTAGCAGTTGTTCTGCTTGTGTTTGTTTCTATAATCCCAATAATACGAGTTACAGTCAGCCATTTGGTACCTTCAGAATTTTACAAACGAATCTTGTGTTTCTTTCGTAGGTGATTATTGTATCTCAGTATCTGGAGATCCTTCAATTGCGAGGCAATAAATTACAGCTCTTATTTATCTTACACGAAGCTCAGGAATGATTATTTCCATGAAATCGAAAGCTACAGAAAGTTTTCCAGTCACAAGCTAGTTACTTTACATTAAAAAAAACTACTTAAATAAATATTTCACAGGCTTCGAAGATTACTACCGAACACCATTTCAAGAACTAAATTAACTGGCGCTACTCTATCAATTTCACCATTTCGCTTCTGCCATTTTGATATTACTGATTGCAGGAATTTAAAATTATGGCATTAGGTTGTTTTTAATGGCATAATGTTCATATTAGTTTCCTGAAAATCGGCCAAGAAATTAGAAGACTGAAATCAGGGACACACGCGCAAACGGACGGATATACACACACACGCAAACACACGATGACAAAATGGTGATTTCATAAGGCCACTTCTCACTTAAAGAAGGAAAGTATGCTAAAAATTACGTTAAAAATTAAATTAAATGAATAAAAATATTCCGAAAGGAGCCGGGATAACTTAGTCTGTATAGCTACTGGTTATGGGCTGGAGGACGGAGGGGCTGGATTTCGAGTCCCGGTAGGGTCAAGGATTTTCTATTCTCCACGTCGTTCAGACCGGCTCTGGGGCCCACTCAGTCTCCTATCAAATCGGTGCCGGTGGATGTTTCCCCGGGGCTAAAGCGGCAGGGGCGTGAAGCTGTCCACTCACCTCCAACTACTGCCGAGGTCAATAAAATGTGGCTCTATAAATCCAGTTCCCCTTACGCCTTCATTGCGTAGTGCTTAATTAGTTAAACAAAGAGACAGCTTTACCTTTTTACCTTAACAAAGTTCTGAAGATCCTTATAATCCAATTCAGGAACTGGGTTGATCGTTCAAGAACTGTTAGTCATACATAACTAACTGTTTAAGTAATTAAGCACTACGCCATGAAAGCTTTTGGGGGAGTGGATATATAGACCCACATTTCGGCACTAGCTGGAGGTAAGTGGTCAGCTTAACGCCCCGGCCGGTTTCTTGAATTTTAATTTGGGCTTTGATGTTGGCAATACTGAATTTTTGGTTTCTACTGACAGAGTATCAGAGGTTTCCCTTTCGTTTAATCTCTTTAAAAACCCAGAATTCTGCTTTGAAATATTGAGTTCGGGGGGGCCAGAATATAAGCAGATAAAATATCCAGGTTTGCGCTCAGAGGGGAGGAAGTGGCTACTGAACACGTTGCCTCATAAGGGATTTTATCTGTTGAGTATAATTAAAACTTCATATTTGTGTTTATGTTCCAATTCTGTAAAAGTCATGAGTCATATCGGACAGTTTATATGATGATACTGAGGAAAATAAACCACTGCGTTTATTATAGTTACGTCCCGGTGTTCATATTCGAGGGCTGAGTTTACCTCTTGCCTCATGTCTGCAGATCTTTCAAGCGGACCATGCAAATATAAGTTGTGTGTCACCCGAGCGAAGTAACCGGGTTCTACTATGCGTGAGATATGAGGTTCTTAACGCGATGAAAAAAATGTAAATTTCTTTTAAAATATTTAACAAACTACATGACATTTTTTAGCCTAGAAATCTTAATATTAACTTATTTCTTTGTCCTGAATAGTAAATCTGATAAAATTCTCCTCTACCAGGACCATGCAATCTCATATGCCCCCAAGCGATGAGAAATTCCGGCCCTTCCCCCCTTTAAATGAGATCATATTTCTCGAAACTTCGTCATAATAATACGGAATTTTCGGATACTTTGTCGAGCGTCATCATTGGAATAGTCCCTAATTTTTAGAGGAGTTTTGTTGAAATATTTGTAGATGATCTCCAATATATATTTATAATATCAACAGATTGAAGGTTAATTTAAAAAGGGCAAAATTAACATAGATGTAGTTCTGATTCTCTGTAGGTTACCTGCTGATTACTTTCTGTGATATAATTTTAAAATTATTTGTAATTATTAGTTTCTAAAATACCATTAAAAAGATCATAATCCTACGAACCAATACATGAAACTGTAAATCCTTCAAATTGTGTTATAAAAGCATAACAACTACTACATTACACTTTAAATATGTGTATGATATTGTGAATAACAAACTATAAACATCAATAGTATTGTCGCGTATCGGGCGTATATCGCGACAAATAAATTCTCGATGTATTCGATGTAGCGAATTTTATTTCACACTCGCTCATACAATCACTCAAATTACAGATTTCCGATTACTGCTATCTGCAGTATCACAAATAGTACACTCCAAATGCCACAATACAACTGACTGGCTGACTGACTCTGAATACAACTCGGCGACTGTTACTTTATAACTCAGTACAACTCTGCGGTAGCCACACTAGACCTGACTGTGAATAGCCTTCGCTGCTCCGTATGTAGCCCCGATCAGACAATACGGGAAAACGGCCACGTAATAGGCACCCTTCTTGCCTGGCCCTGTGTTGCTATGTAACGCTAGCGGAGGTAACCGCTGTTACTATCGTAACGTCGCCGCTGTTGACTCGCGTTGCCTAGCGACCGCGATATCCCTCGGTGACGTCACCGCGGAGGGGAGTGGCGGGGCGGGAACTCGCCTATTACCGTAAGAATGCGAGCGTTACGTTACCGCCACGTACCGCTGGGGAGGTAGGGGTCAACATGTCACAGTATCAATAGAAATGATTTCAGTAGATTCTAAAGGTTCTGGCAATGGTGTATAACACTCGGGATTGCTGGGTTTTTGGATTTTGCCCACCGTCCGGTATTCTGGAAACTAGGAACACAACGCTTCGGAAACAGGATCTGCTTCCGTCCTCAGGTGTGAGGGTGGGAAACACCTATTGTGTAAGGTATGTTATAAAGAGTTAACCTCAATCACTGGTCCGCTAGAACACTTGACAAGTTACTGAAGTTAATTCTTTCTAAAGAAAGCAAAAGAATAGACGTTTTTCACTCTTTCACATATGGGGACGGAAACAGCTCCTGTTTGCGAAATGTTGCGTTCTTTAAATTATCGAACGATGGGAAAAGTCCCAAAATTCTGTTATCACAAAAAATTATTAAAATTAATTTGTAATTAGGAACCTATAAATAATTATTTTAAATATATCATTGAATATAATTATACTTAATAAAGTTAATAAAAATCACTGTCACTAAAATAATTATGATTCACATATCTAGTATAT